GAGAGAGAGAGAGAGAGAGAGAGACACAGAGAGAAGGAGAGAGGGGGGGGGGGGGGGGGGCTACATGAGTGGCAGTAGTAAGGGAACGGGAGGAGACTACAAGAGAGAGAGAGAGAGAGAGAGAGAGAGAGAGAGAGAGAGAGGAGCTTCATGAGCGGTGGCAGAAATAGGTCTGGATGATGCTACCGCATCACAGTATTAACATCCATAGTGCCACAGAGATAACAGGGATCAAGACAAGAAACGTAAGTCCACAATGGGGTGGTCCTGCTGTAGCTGCTTGATACCTGGCAAGCCCTGCTCATAGTCCCAACTACCGCCTTTAAGCTCAACAACCAACTTCTCAATCTTGGGGCAAAATGTCAAGAAAGTCTCAACAAAATTTGTAGTGCAATACTGCAACTCCACACACAGCCACACGTCTCTGAGATTCGGTGCGTTGAATGCCGGTGTTCCAGGCTGCAGCCCCTGCAATAATGTCCCCAGTCCAAAATGTTTGATATGTAGAACCTCAAGCAGTGGAAAGCTCTGCTGGTAAAACGCCTCCGTAATTATGTCCTCTGTCGGCCCATCGCACTCCCAAACGTCGAGATGCAAGTGAAGATCAACGAGCGTGTGCCGATGTATCATCAGCAACGCTATCAACTCTATCGCATGCCATTTCCTCCCCTCGTCGTCGTCTTGATGCAAGTCGAGGAGCAACAGTCTATCTGACCAGAACGAGAACTTCAAATCGTGACAGCCGTTCGCGACCAGTCTCCCAGGATTGGTGCGTTTTGTGAATTCGAAGTCGCGGATGCCGTAGAACAACACCTCCTCCAACTGCGGAGCATCGACGAGGATGTTTTGTGCCCAGCGCTCGGAATGAGGAGAGATGGGCACCGCCACGCAAAGGGCTCTGAGCTCTGTCGACACGACCGACGTTCTCGTCAACCCTGTGAAGCATACCAGTTGAAGGAGGACAAGGTTTGGAAACAGACCTAGCAAGTCATTCAATCCGCCCGTTGCAGCAGGATCTGATCCTCCTCCTCCTCCTCCTTCATCCTCTTGACCAAACCCAACCATGGTTAATCTGAGTTCACGAAGACAAGTTTGAGGCTCGCACGTCCTCAACACCAGCCAGTCAAGCTCCTGAACATTACCAATGCTCGACTTGCGTGGCGGCGAGACTTCCAGTCTCTGCAGCTTCCTGCAGAACATCAAGGTGCAGATCAGGATATCATGCATGGTTCCCGGCTTCAGCCGCGCGCATATGCTAAGCTCGCAGAGGGATGCATGTGTGTGCGTCATCCACAGCCGCACGGCTGTGCGGCTGCACAATTTCCACGGGTGCGACGCCGACCCCGTCTCAACCAGCAGGTGTGACAGCCCCTGACACTTGAGGACAGCTGAAGTCACAGCATCGTCCACGTCAAGTTTCTCCACCACCGTGCTGTCCTTGAAAGAAAGCACAGGAGCCTGCAAGGCAACAACAAGTGCCGCAAGCACACCGTCAGTCCTACAACACAACACCACGTTCATTCAAGTTAAAAAAAAAAAAGGACAAAGTGACGCTCGATTTTCAGCATGATGGAGATAACCCACACATGTGAAGTGGTCGGCGGTTTGTCACGCACGCTCGATGCCTTCCCGCCCCCCACCCGCCTGCAGGTGTTGAAAGGCAGTACAAATACACAGGAACCTCCAAGCAAAGTCGCATGCACAATTTCGAAACACAAAACATCCATTCATCCAGGACAAACAATGACGACATTTCGAAACTCGGTTGCACAAGGATATACTACACAGAGTCATCCGCATAAGCATTAGTAGTTCAAGGCCCTTCAGGCATAAATGATAATTCCTACCCCAACCCTCTTCTCCTCTCTTGTCCTCTCTCTCAATGTACTTCACTGCAATCGACATCCAACAAGCATTGTATGTGTCCCCCCCTCTCCCCCCCCCCC